GGGGGCAGGCAGAGGGCTGGGTGCAGGGGACTGGGGGGGGCGGGTGCTGCGGGGGCAGGCAGAGGGCTGAGTGTGGGGGGCAGGCAGAGGGCTGGGTGCTGCAGGGGCTGGGGTGGGCGGATGCTGCGGGGGCAGGCAGAGGGCTGGGTGCGGGGCACAGGCGGGAGGCCAGCCGTTACCTTGACGATGTCAGTGGTGAGTGAGTACCGGAACATCCAGTCCAGCGTGATGCTCTCGTTTTCCAGGATGTCCTGCATGGGACGGGCACAAGCACAGAGGGGGGTGGGGGCTGAGCTCCTCTCCCTCCTCCCCCCCAACTAGGGCTCTGGATGCTTCTGCAAACCCCCCGACAGCCCAGTGAGACCTGCTGGTAATGGGGGTCGGGTGGCACCAGACTAGGCTTGGCTGGTCTATCCTGGGGCCAACCCCTGGCATGGGCGCGGGACTGAACCAGGGCCACGCGCAGCCGGCACCGGAGTGGAGGGGCTGCGCTGGTGCAAAGCGCATGTGGCACGGATGGGGCTCGGCAGGCCGAGCGGGCGGAGGGCAGTGGGGGACTTGACGGCTCTCTGTGTTCAGAGAGAGCCGGAGAATAAGGGAGCATGTCCCCATGGCGCCTGGCTGGCCGACAGGGAGCCCGACAGCAAGCGGGGTACCCAGCAGGGACCCCAAGGGGCCTCTCTCTCGGTCATTGGAGGAACTGCATCTGCACCGGAGCGCGCGGCCAGGAATCCAGGCCTGTCACGAGAGAGGAAATGTGGGAGGGGAGCGCCCTCCCCCCCATAAATCATCCCGCTTGGAAACAGCCCCCGCACCAGCACTCACTGGGCCCTGGGGAAGCCCAGCCGTGCCCCCTCCTTTTAATTCAGACCCCGCCCCCGCCATCGCCGCTGCAAAGCGTGACCCTCCCAACACAGGGACCGTCCCGCTGGGGCCCTCCCTCCCATGGGCACTGCTGGGGCACAGACAGGCCTGCTCACTGCTCTGCACATTTGCACCGAGTCCAGCCTGGACGCCGGGTCACAGCCCTTCTCCTCCCCCCGTCGCCAGGAGATCGGTGCCTGGCGACCCCACTCGGGAACAGCAGCACGCAGGGCGCTGGGCATCAGGCCTGGGGGCCCCTCCCTTGCTGCCCCAATGCCTTCCAGCAGGCTCTGCCCAGCACCAGGCATACCTTCGCCGGCTGCCACACAGAGCCTCCCCGCCACCTCAGCTGGGAAGAGAATCCAGGAGTCCTGGCTCTCAGGCCCCCTGCTCCAGCCCACTGGACTCCCCTCCCAGAGCCCGGGAGAGAACCCAGGAGTCCCAGCTCCCAGTTCCATCCACTACCCGCACCGCCCCATAGCCCCTGCGCAGCGATACCTGGAGGCTCCCGCGTGGGCAGTACTCCGTCAGGATGCAGATGTTTGGGGGGTCTGTGCAGGCTCCGACGAAGCGGGTCAGGTGTTCATTCTGGACGTCCCTTATCTGCAGGGGGATGGAGAAGGCAGGGTTAAGGGAAGGCCGCTTGGAGTCCATAGTGCCTTTCCTCCCAGAGTGCTTTGCAGGCCACTCAGAGGCATTGCTTCACCCAGCACTGGGATGCAGCCACCTCTGAAAGGCATATGTGGGGCAGGCCTGTCTGTGCCCCGTCAGTGCTCATGGGAGGGGGGCCCCCCCAAGCGGGATGGTCCCCGTGTTGGGAGGATCACACTATTTCTACAAGGGACCCCTCACTTGGCTCTGAGATGCAGCCACCTCTGGGTGGGGCTCAGCAGCTGTTAAACAGCCGTGAAGGCAGACACTGTGGAGGAAACCTCTGCTCAGCCTAATGAAGGATTTATCAGGCCAGTCAGGTGGGCAGGAAATTGCTTGGCTGGCATCCAAGCGCGTGATATTTACGAGGTGAGCTGAGTGCGGGGGGGAGGGTCCAAGGTCGCTCCATGATCAGCAGCCCCAACTTCTTG